AGAGGAGTACCATGTCGTACTCGTGCCCTAGAGACATGAATTCTAGGCTCCCGAACCAGACGATCGTCCCGAGATGCAACGATCGCACGGGATCTGCCATCCGGAATCTGGTGGGATGACTAAGCTGACACGCAGAGGCCCCTACCTGGCGCGCCAACTGTCCGTGTTTTGGAACCGGGGGTCCTTAACCGACTAGTGAATTTGTGCTGCGTGCTCCCGATTCCGGATGGTGATGCAAAGAGACACAAGGTTTATACTGGTTTGGGCAATGGATGCCCTACGTCCAGTCTGAGATGATGTTCTTGTATTCCTTGCACCGGGGTGCTCGTAGTAGGGGGTTACAAGCTAGGCGAGAGAGGGAGGTGATACGAATTACGGAATGCGGCGTGCTGTTCGTGCGAGTGTTCGTGACTCTATCCGTCGTCCCTAGAAACGGTCCTGGCTGCCTCCTTTTATAGCCGCAAGGAGAAAACCAGGAGTACATAAGAGAGTTACACGTGGAGCAAGGACTATTCGATGACGTATCTACTCCTGGAGCAGCATGGCGTTGTCGTGGGAGTTCCCGTAGATGTCTAATCGGTATGGTCTCCACTGCAAGTAACATGCTGTGCATTTGTTGACTTGGCGGATTGCAAAGGCTCGGCGGCCATCGTAGCCGGTCGTCGTGCGAAACTGTCGTGCGGAGGCTGTTGTCTGAGGCCTGCCGTGTCGAGGCCCGAAAGTGACCCAGTGCGATCTGGGTCTCGGCGACCATCGGCGGGAATAGTGCGGCGCGCGCGCCTCTGAGGATCTGATACAGTATTGTTAGTAAGGGATGGTAAAAAAGGTGATCTGACCGGTGTCCCGTCGCTCCTGTTGTAGCGCACTGCCGATCGTGGCTTACGTAGCGGGTGCAGCTGAGCGCATTAATCGGATGCGACATCCTGCCAGAGAGACTTTTGAGGCGGAGGCGACGAGGTTGCGGGACGAGCCCGGCCTCGGGCGAGGCGGAGCGCGGCCAATTCGTCCGCGGCCCTACTGGGGGGGGCTCGGGCGAGGCGGACGGGCGAGGCGGAGTAAGATCAATGACTCCGAGGCCCTATCGAGGGGGCTCGGGCAAGATGGAGTGGTCGGTCCGCTGATTCCGAGGCTACAGGAACCTGTTCGGACTCCCCACGTTGCGATGTCCTTGGTGCAGGAGTTAGGCAGCACAGTGGTCGGTAACCCCTGCTCTGTGCCGTCGCAGATGGCAGGAGGTTGACGCGACTGGCGTGTAGTCGGTCACTTCGCTGTACTGTGCCATCGTGCGTCTATCGGAGTGGTTGTTGGGCGCTTGGATGCGACGTTCAGTCAAAGCAGTCTGGTCGAAGAGGCGGTCACGGGGCTGGTGCCGAGCCGGCCTCGCGTGCGAATCGGAGAATCGGCACTTCTTCCGAGGCCCTCGACGAGGGGCCTCGGCGAGGCGGTCTCGAGCGAGTCGGAGAATCGTTCGCTTCCACTGGGGCTCGGCGACGGGGCCTCGGGCGAATCAGAGATTTCGGCCGAGACCTCGTTTATTTATTCCATTGGTTCTGTTTTTAGGGTCTAAGTAGTTTTTCGATCTTTGCTTGGGGTACCCCATTTTCTGGTATCCGACAATGAAGTCTATGTTAGTGAAGAAATTCAAATGAAGGGTGATCCTACCGCATTTGAAAAAGCCATGAGAAGCGTTTACTCGTTTAAATGGCAAGAAGCTATGGAAGTTAATGAATTCGATGAATACCAACGATGTTTGGGACTTAGAAGAAATTCCTAATGGAGCCAAAACAGTAGGCTGTAAAAGGGCCTACAACACAAAACGTGACTCCAAAGGGAATGTAGAAAGATATAAAGCATAACTTATAGCAAAAGACTTTACGCAAAGAGAATGAATAGATTACAATGAGAGTTTTCTCTCCAGTCTCATGCAATGATTCTTTTAGAATTATAATGGTGTTCATGGCACATTACGATTTAGAGTTACATCAGATGGATGTAAAGACGACATTCCTCAACAGGGATTTGTATGAAAAATGTTACATGGCACAACTCAAAAGGTTTTATCGTGGAAGAAAAGAACATATGGGATGCCGCCTGTAGAAATCCATTTATGGGTTAAAAGTAAGTCTCTAGACAGTAGTATTTAAAGTTGATGAAACGATAAGAAAGTTTGGTTTTAAAGAAAATGAGAAGGACAATAGCGTTTATGCGAAGTTCAAGAATGGAAAATCCATTTTCCACATCATGTGAATAGATAACATTCTACTTACTAGTAGTGATGTTAATCTGTCATTGGAGAAGAAGTTTTGTCCTCAAGTTTCAATGTGAATGATCTTGGTGAAGCGTCATTGGTTCTAGAAATCGAAATTCACCGAGATAGAAGAAAATGGGGTATTAGGACTATTGCAAACGCATACTTAGAAAAGATTCTAAAGAAATAAAGTATGCATGCGAGTAAACCTACGCCTGCTCCTATAGTCAAAGCTAATAGATTTGGAAACTTTAAGTGTTCCAGGAACCGATATGAGATCGATCAAATGAACATGGTTCCATATGCTTCAGCTGTTGGAAGCTTGATGAGTGTACAAGTACAAGTAAGAGCTTATCCTGACGTAGTTTACTTATCCGGGATATTTTGGTAGAAGTTCAGTCCAGATATAGATCACTGGAATAGAGTTGAGAATGTCTTGCAATTTTACAAAGTATTATTGGTCTCATGCTGAGTAAGAAAGAACAAGTACTCTCAAATAGTTGAGGGTACAAATGTTAAGTTTTGGCGAGATGTGTAGTAAAATCCACAGTAGTTGTTAATACTCGCAGTTGGAGTATTATTGTGGAAAAGCTCCAAAGAAACAGTTGTGGTGTCATCAGTGATGCACACCATAGTATAGCTTGACATGAAGCTTAAGGAACAGGCAAAAAGAGGTTAAGGGAATTTGTACCCGGATTTAACAATGGTAGACAACAGCAATAACCATTTAAAGTAAGTTAACTCCTAAGACAACAGGTCAAGTGTGCTGCTAAACACATTAACACTAAGTTATATGTTGTAAAGGAGAAAATCCAGAATCATTTTGAAAGCGTTGAGCACATAAGTACCGAGTAAGTACTTGCGGATCCGCTTACCAAAGGCTTACCAACCAGTGCGTTCAGAAAACACATAGTCGACATGAGTTTACGGGAAATCCTATGATTTCTGGATACTAAGGGCCTAGTTGGGTATCTGTTTCAAAACAGAGAGGTGCATTGTAGCTGTTAAATCTAATGGCAACTGACCGTGACGATAAGGCACGCTCTATGCACTGATCTGTGATGGAATGGGAAAAAGAAAAAGGAAGTTAAGTTTAAGTCATAAGGTGAGATCAAGGGAGAGAATGTTAGGTTGATCTCCACCAATTAGCCCAACGACTCTTGATCCACGCCCTGATCGGGGGCGCTCAGCCTTTCTACCGGCTGATGGGGCCCCGTCGCGCAGCGCCATAAAAGGACGGTGGGGGTTCAGGCACAAGTGATGAGGTTTTACCGCAGCCGCCAGTGCCCCACCACGTCATAACCCTAGTCCGATCTAGAAGGGCGCGCTGTAAGCAACTTAAAGCACCATCGCTTTCGCCGCCACCACTGGACCGTGTCTCCACGTCGTTGCGACCTCGTCGGCGGCGTCATGGCCGCGACTATGCTCGACGTGAGGTACATCACCAAGTCTCTTATTAAGCTAAGTATTACCCACTGATCTACGCCTAGAAGAACTTTAAGATACTATCACCGTATGCCGTGTGCGTGTATGGGATGGGATGTGATGGGCTGGGCTGCTACAATCACATCCCCTTGACTTGGGTGTCAACCTGCCGATCATACATTCATCATGACGACCAAGCTGTTGACACCAGATCTTTGCACTCGCTGACTGATGTGGAAGGGAGAGCAATGCAATGCAAACGACGCTTGCCAGAATGAAACTGAACTTGTCGACACAAATCCTCTTCCTTTGGACCTAACACACTACAAGGAGGCTAGCAAGCTGTACATATATTGTTTTCACAAACATATTGTTTTCACAAACCATCTTAGTCTGCTACAGCTAGTAAAGTACACACAAGGTACAACAACATCCAATTAAAATAGACTACATGTAACTGTGGCTCACGAGGACTCTTCAACTTCACTCACTGATCATGCTTCTTCAACAACTTCGTTGCCGTACCTCACGATTTCAATACTATATTGGTCGCACACTGGTTTGGTACCTCAGGATTTGATGATGACTATACTTGTCGCATAATCACTTGCACGACTTTATTAGCCCACCACCTTCACAGATATTAGCAGCAACCATAATGAGCACAAATAACATATATACCAACTCGTCGCTTCTGTGGGAGCAGGTGTAAGCATTTTATCCTCAGCAAGCAGGTGTAAGCAATTTATCCTCAGCATGTGTTTTGTATGCAATGCTACTAGCTAGTCTACTACCAATAACCCAGTGTGTGTGTGTGTACGGGTTGCCACTTGTTGTGTGATTGTTTTCACTTCGAGCGTATATTTCAGTTATTAGTGCAACTTATTTCTATCTATCTTAATGAATCTCAAACTTTGAGTTTAAAAAAAATTCTTCATTCTGAAAAAGTTTGGGAGGTCCAGATATTGATTGATCCTTCCACATCAGAGCGCAAGGATCTGGTGTCTACAGCAAGGGTTACCCTATTAGCCAATCTATCAAACACCAGATAAGATGAAGAGCTTTGAACAAGGCCTCAAGAAATTCTCATCCAAGTTGTAGAGCTATTGAAGGCATGTCACTTACATTATTACATACAGGTATGGAACTAAACATCTCCTACTCAATAAAGTCAGTCCTCTGTCGATTTTCGGTTCATCACAGAAGTACACTTATGATGTTTCATGTTTATGCAAATGTGCAGGGCTGCAGTGGGAAGCGTCGTCTATCATTTCATCAAGAACTCTAGGAGGAAGGAGAGCTGAGTAGCTGACCTGTCATTGGCAGATTACCAAGAACTTGAGCTTGCTTTAGAATTAGCATTCGTCCCAAATCTATTTATTGCGAGCCTCTTCCTGTGTTGGAGCAGAACGCGATTAAACACCGTTTTGCAGTCATCAAAACTCTGGATCCAGCTTTTGCAATGTATTACCTAAGGTTCTTTAACTGGCTAGTTAAATCATTGATCTCCATGAAGGAGAGCTTTAGTGAAGATAGAGTTCCAGGCACCTCTTCTGCAAATACTTTTGCCAATTTATTTGCTGCAGTTTCCATCTTCTGCAGCGCCTGTTAAGAACAAGAAAATGTCTTCACAAAATATACTGTCTAGTTTATGGATTGATCATCATTTATTCAGATGATTTACTCACTCTGCTTGCTGAAAACGATAAGATGGTTACTGACAGAAAGAAGCTCATCACCTGAAATTAGGATCAAGAAGTTAATTGCAAGGTGTGCAAAAATTAGGGTGAAATTTGATTGCAGATAATGATGAATAAAGAGTTATGCCCCCGTGCACCTGGGGCAGCTACAATTGATTTTGACCAAGCATTTTACATATTTTCCCTTTAACATCGATGGTATAGAAAAACTTTATGAATCAATATTTCGTCAGGCTAGCCTCCACATAGTACCATGCATTTGTCTTTCTTCCTTTTTTAAGGCTACTAATGACAATTCGTGACAAGAAAAAAAGGGTAATGGGTAATGTAAACCTCAATTGCCTATTTGGTTGGATATAGAAGTTAACTTTGTTGTTCAGACTGCTCCTTGTCCCACCATAAGAATACTACCGAGAATAGTAACAAAGTAGGAGCACAATATGGTTGTGTTGGTTGGCAGGTCCACTATCAAATTGAATTCATTCTAAACACATACTTGTGAACTTGTCGTTTCTACTGCCAGTTTGAGTGTTTGATCCCCACAAGCACCAGATAGTGCTACTCTTAAGTACTACCATTTAGATTGACCAACAAGTTAACAACAAATGAATGGTTCTAACTGATCGTCTGATACACAGAATATGTTATTAAATAAGCCAACAATTATTTTCAAACTTATGTTCATTGATGTAAAGATAGCCACTTCCTCACAGAAGCTAATGTGAAAGCGTGCAGAGATTCCGCTCATCGCTCTGTATCTTGGATAAAAATGAAATTTACAATGGCTTCACATGTTCTTTGTCATCTTTGCTGCTACTTGTCCGGGCAATATTCCAATGTGTTGTATCATTGCCATAAGTTCAATAATATATCAAACTGAAATCAAATCTATTTTGGGTTATTTCTATCTATCCTTGTGGAAAATTTGCCGTCTTGCGAAGCCGCCAGCACAGGTCAATCCGTCCATGACAATCGACCAATTGGTTGTTCCTAATATATGTGCAGCCATCTTCCTAATTTGCAAATTTTATCATGTCCGGATCTTTGCTATAAAGTTGTAGGCCGGTTGTCCCTAATACCCAACTCAACTGAATCCTATGCAGCCACAATCCAATCCTAATCCTATCAAACAACCCGCTCCCAGAAACTTCAGTCGAAGGCAAATCCAAAGGCGTAAGGAGAGGCATGATACCACACCGAGAACGACGAGGAGCAAGGCGAGCCCCGTCTCCGCGTCCCTCCGGACGCCGCCAACGGCGGCGAGCGAGGTGGAAGGAGGCGACTCCGCCGCCACGAGTCGTGGCAGCGGCTGCGGATGCGGGCCGTAGCGCGCCCTGGAGCCACTTGCTAGGACGCAGGAGGGCCTAGAAGCTCGCGCGGGACTGCTGACGACGAGCCGGCGGCGGCGAGGGCGCCACGGCGGCAGCAGCTGCGCCGGCGGCGAAGAGCGGAGAGCCGGTGGAGAGCTCATCGGAGGGCCTCAGTGCCTCTCCACTGATCGTTTTTTTGGATGGAATGGATAAGAGTGGGATGGGCCGTCGCAAATGGGTCTTTGCGCGTCGTGGGCTGGGCCGTTGCGAAGAATTGGAGGGAGCAAGTCCGTTCGATAGCGTGTGGGCTGCTGGGTTATAAAAGTTGGCGGTTTTCGAAAATTTTTATTTCTGTATTTTTATTAATTTGTTTTCTGCAAAAAAATAAGCGTCCCAGAAAAAAAAACAGAAGTATACTCCTATATCTATTCGAGACGGATATTTAAATTTATCTAAGTATGAGTTTAGATGAAGATAAAAAGTACATCAGAGTTATAGAGCTCAATCAAATATACAAGTTTGTAGTTCACAATATTTTGATTCGAGCACATCTTGCTGTCGTAAATAGATAGAAAGGAAATTCTAAGGGAAGTGTTGCGGTATTTTCCCCATAGATGATAGATGCTACTGATCTTGTCCTCTTTGCAGCTGCAACTCGTGTGCATGTAAAAAAATGGGAACAAAGCTAAATTTTCAGACTTCCTCTTGACTAGGGATGTCAGCGGGATAGAGTCGAGTTAGGTACCCAAGGATTTTAGACCCTTCGAGGGTGGTAGGTGGGTTTGATTCCCCCTCTCCCGAATTAGCAGGTTTGTGGGCCCGAAACAGATTGAGGCGGGGCAAATTTCAAATTTCCATATGAATCCTCGAAGTGAGTAAGATAAGCCCACCATTCGACCTAGCCCAAATAATAACCCATCTAAAAGAGCCCTAATTCACCAAGCTCTCACCCCTCAACCTGAACTCCTCATGTCTCCTTTGCTCATCATCCACTACCCATCAATCTCCAGCTGCAACTGCAAGGGGCCAACACCCAATGGCATCGAGTCGTCGATGCATCCTACAAGGCACAGGTGGCAGTTAGAGGCGCAACCCGCAGGTGGCGATCGTTGGTGCATCCCACCGACTAGTCTCTAAATGCAACTTAATTATGAGCATATGGACTTCGGTTGGCACGCAGTCTTGTTGCCCTTCCTACTGCAAAATTAGGATAACCTTGCCGGTCTAATGGATTTGTATTTTGGATTTGTGGTGGACTTTATGACTTCTCCTGGCAGAGGTATTCGTGGTCAGGCCATTATCACCATCTGGATTATATATGGATCGAAAGGAACCACCGGATTTTCAAAAACCTCTCTAGAGAGCCTCGGCAAATGATTGATGGAGTATGGGACACTATAGCTAGATTATGGTGCCTCGTGGGTGCAAACCACCTCAGTTCATTGTTAGTGCCGCCCATACATGGGGAAATGACGAGTATTCCCTTTTAAGTTTTTTTCTACCCTATTGGGGGCTTCTTGCATCTTGCGCTTGTAAAAACTCTTACTCCTCTTATGAACATTTGTCAAAACATTCCGGGTCTTTCAAGAAATTTTGCTCGATCACTGTGAAGGAGGTCAAGAGATATGATCCATGTCGCATGTCGGCAATAGCAATCGAGGCAAATGTAGTAGGCGGGGTCGCGAATGAATAATGAAGTCAACTTGAGACGATCATCAGTAGTCAGTCACGACGTCGCGTTCTTATCTTTGAGAGAGGCTAATTCGCGGTCCCATTCATTCGCGTCCTAATACAGGCAGGTCGACGAGAGCGACGACGATGACTGCACTGAAATATCCGGCCGTTCTGGACGAGATGTGTGTAGTAGTAATATGGATGGATGCACGGACGGCGACGAAGCCTGGATGGACCGTACGTCCTCGTCAACCGCTGCGTGCATGACTCCGGCCGTACGTATGCAGGACCGTATAAATGTACACAGCGCGGTCATACGTGTCAACGTCGATCAGTACGTTTTGTTGTTGTCAATCTTCGTTTGCTTGGCAGCGTGTGCCAGCAGGTAACGTATATACGGCCAAAGTATAAATAAAGATATATATAGATTTCTATTAAGAAGAGAACGATTTTTCCAACGGAGAAAAGTAGGGAATGTGTACGTAACGTATGTATACAGTTCTACGGTGAAGTCTAGTCTACCGCAATCATCACGACACTGTTTCACGTGCTTTTACTGAATCTATGTGAGAGCACAGAAAACAAACGGGGAAGACCTTCACAGCGTTAATTTGACTTGCAGCTAGCTTTAGTAATAATAAAAAGATCAAAATGCATCATAGGTCTATTACCTTTTGCCTCTATGTCATCTAGGTCAATCATCTTTCAAAGTGTAGTTTTAGGTCCCTAATTTTTCTATTTAGTCCACCGTGGGTCCATTCTGGGTGAGAATCAGGTTTGTAGCCCACGTGAGTGTCCACGGTAGCTGCCCATACACCTTGCCCGCAATGAGTGGGGGTAAATTTCGCACTTCACCCCCTGGCTGTGTCTCTCCGTCTCATTCCCCTCCACGTCCAGGGCCTATTTGGTTTCTACAGGAGCTCCTAAAATTTCTGTCACATCGAATGTTTGGACACATACATGGAGTATTAAATATCGACTAATTATGAAACTAATTGCACAACTTGCGACTAATTTACAAGACGAATCTTTTAAGCCTAATTAGTCCATGATTTGACAACGTGGTGCTACAGTAAACATGTGCTAATGACTGATTAATTAGGCTTAAAAAATTCGTCTCGCAAATTAGCCTCCATCTATGTAATTGGTTTTGTAATTAATCTATATTTAATGCTCCTTATTAGTATCTAAATATTCGATGTGACATGAATTTTAGGAACGACTAAAGAACCAAACACCCCCCAATCTCTCGAGCGCGCCGTCTAGGAGAGAAGGAGGCGAGCGGAGGAAGGAGCCCGCGGCCCGCTGCCTTCGAGGATCGACGACGACGTGGAAGCCGGTGCCAGAGAAGATAGGTGCAGGGCGGCGCTTAACCTCGGGGTCCAGTTCCGATCGCGTTGAATCTCGACGATGGTGGCTAGGTTGCGCCAGAAAGGGGAGCCGCCTCCAGAATACAGTAAGTGTATGGAAGTCGTAATCTTTGATTTAGATTGCCATAGGATGAACCAATCTAAGTATAGATGTCTGTTTGTTTCAGAATGTGTTGTAGTGGCCGACTAGGGTTTCTTGGTTTGTTTGATTTTAGGCGGCTGATTTGAGGTTTTCTGATGATTGGAAGCGCAATGTAGGCAATGCTGATGACGAGTTCACAGTTGAAGTCCACCATGGTGGGTTTTTTGTTGGGTACGAATCCAACAAAGCATATCTCAATGAGCAAGTGAATTGGTTTGATCATTGTGAGGTGGATACATGGTCTGTGATATGTTTAGAGGATTTTGCTTTTAAGCTTAATTATCCAAGGAATCCGGATCTGAAGTTTCATTGGTTGCTTCTTGGCTAGACTATGGCAAATGGGCTCAGGTTGGTTTTTGAAGACTCAGACACACTAGTAATGGTTTCTTTGCTGCATAGAGTGAAAAACTTTGTGGTGTATCTAGTTCATGAAAACAACCTGGATAGTCTGAATTGGGATGATGTTGTAGCCAATCCAGTCAACACACTGCCTAAGGTAATTAGCCCCTAGAAGGAGACATACATTCCAAGAAAGGAAGGTGAGAAGCTGTTATTTTTTATGCTGACATACCCAAAACAGGACCTCCTGATGTACAAGGTGGCCCTAGGCCAAGTGGAAGTGAACCAGATTATTTTGGTGGGACTGACAGTGAACAAGACAATGACTTTGTTGATTCAGACTATGAGGTTGAAGCTGATGATGACAACTTATTCATGGACAATGTTGATGAAGAGGTGATAGATGAAGTAGTGAAAGGGAAGAAGGTATGTATTGAAAAAGAGGCAGGGCAAGGATGTCCAGTGAAGGCATTGCTGGTGATGATGGAAGTGATGTGTCCACTGATGATGAATTACAGCTGCCTGATTCAGATGGAGAGGGCCAAGACAGGCTCAGATTTTGATCTTTTAGATCCGAAGATATGCACAATCCTATCTTCAAGGTTGGAATGTTGTTTGAGTCAATGGAGGTACTTAGAAGGGCAGTCATAGAATACAATTTGAGGGAGAGAGTAGAACTGAAGATGCCAAGGAATGAGAAGAAGAGGTACCATGCCATCTGTGAAGGGGGTTGCTCATGGAACCTATATGCATTAGTGGACCCGAGAGCTAATGGAATGGTGATCAAGAGGTACATAGGGACACATTCTTGTTAGAAAAAATGGATGTTCAAGAGGTGCACAAGCAAGTGGTTGGCTGAGAAGTACGTAGACTCGTTCAGGGCTGATCAGAAGATGACAGTAACCAACTTCAGCAGGATTGTTCAGAAAGAGTGGAACCTTACACCATCTAGATCAAAGCTAGCTAGAGCAAGGAGACTAGCCATGAACAAAGAGTGGAACCTTACACCATCTCATAATGTAGAGCTTAATTCCAGCACTGTAGGCAGTCTTCGCTGAATCAGAACATAGATTCTATGTGCGCCATCTATACTCCAACTTCCAGCAGCAGTTCAAAGGTGAGAATTTGAAGAATCAGCTATGGTGTTGTGCTAGATCTAGTTCAGTAGTTCAGTGGAATATGAATATGGAGAAGATGAAAGCTTTAGACCCTAAAGCACATGCATGGCTAGAGAAGATGCCTCCAAACACATGGTGTAGAACATTCTTTAGCACATTTCCAAAGTGTGACATTCTACTCAATAACAGTTCTAAGGTTTTCAATAGTTACATTCTACTTGCAAGAGAGATGCCAATTTTGAGCATGCTTGAGACCATGAAGACCCAATTGATGATTAGGTTCTACACTAAGGGAACAGAGGTTGGTGAGGAGTGGGATGGCCTAATATGCCCAAAGATTAGGAAGAAGCTTGTTAGGAACATGGACTAGGCAAATACATGCTATGCAATTCTAGCAGGTCAAGGCATTTTCCAAGTGCAAGATAGGGATTACAGCTTCAGAGTGGACATAACTTTGAAGAAATGTGACTGCAGGAGGTGGGATCTAACTGAAATCCCTTGCTCTCATGCAATCTCAT